CCCCCGCGCTGCGGTTTTAGCCCCTGCCTTCTCCTGAGAGGAGGAGGAGTCTAATATCAGCATCCCAGTTCTATCCCTTCCGCGCTGGGTTGGTTCCTATGGCTTCAGTTCCTTTGCTGGGAGAGAAGCATTCCCTGGCAGTGTCCTCAGGAAGTGCCCTCCTCCTGCCAGTATGGACATTACTACTATAGCTCCCGGAAGAGGGAGGAGAGGGTCACTACCTGACCGCGTCAGCACTCCTCCGAAGCTCCCACCTCCCGCCGGCGGGAGAGCCACCTGCAGTTCCCGTGGAGGGTGGCCGGGGGTCCCCGGAGCTTGCAGAGCTGCGCCCTCCGGCTGCACCTCCCCCACCGTCCAGTCTAGGGGAGGGCTGGACTTTGGGGCTCCGCTGGGAGGGGGAGGGGAGGGGATAAGCTTCAAAGGAAACACCAAGACAATGACTCCTGCTTTTGATTGGCTGTGGAGCGCCCCTTCTTAGGTTGGGGTTGCCAGGCTGCCGAGGAGGCTGAGGGGCAGGAGGGGAGCCCCTACCAGGTGACAGCACTTGGTCCTCTCCGGGAGGCACTTTGTTTCCTGTTGCTGATAAGCACGCCCCCCACCACCACCACATACACAGACTCGTGGGAAACACTCTCCAGAGCTGTGTGCTCTGCCGTCCTGTCGGGTGCAGCCTTACTCCTGAGAAGAGGGCTGAGACGGGACGTAGGTATTCGGGGACTGGGTAGAGTGAAGGGAGTCTTGGAGCAAGCACTGCAGAGAACTTGCATGTGGGACAGGCAGGGCTTGTGAATTTGACGGAAAATCCTTGGAGGACTTCCCCAGCCCACAGGCCACTTGGCTTATGCTTCAAAGGCAAGACGCTGGGGGATGGAACTCTTGGGAATAGCTAATTGAGCCTGACAAGGACAAGCTTCGGCCATTTCCTTAACCATTCAGGTGGTCGCTGCTTCCAGTCGCCTCCAGGGTCCTAAGAGGGGCTGTGGGGGTTGGCGGGGCTGGATGGGTCAGAGCGTGGACTTCCAAGAGCCCTCAGGTGGAGCAAGAGGAACTTCTTTATCACCAAGAAACTCACATCAACAACCTGAGTAGTACAGGCAGTGAGTGAGGTCAGAGAGAGGGCTGAATTTCACTTCCTTCTGTGAGGCACAGTGCAGCAATCTCAGGTCAGCATGGGCAGGAGAGGGAGGCAGGGGGCTGAGGAGGATTGGAGACTAGAGAACAGATTGAGCTGGGGGAGGCTGGACACTTTGCAGAGGCTGGACCTATCCCAAGGCCAACTTGTGGGTAGATGGCTCTGCTGTGTTCCAGGCGTGCTGAGGAGGTGGCTACTGTGACTAACTCGGGTCTTTATCCCTTCTCCCAGGACACACTCTCACTACACTGCAGAGTTGTTTGTTGTGTTGTGCAAGTAGGGGGTGGAGACCAGCGTGTATGGCAGTAGGGCGGGGCTTAGCAGGTTTGGAGGGAACCTAGTGGCCCAGGATTGCTGCTTTTGTTTTTGCTGCTGAGCTTGGAGGTTAGCTCAGAATGAGATGAGAGCTTGCAGAATACTCCTTCAGGTGGTCTGTGTGTGTGTGTGTGTGTGAGAGAGAGAGAGCCATTTACAGAGGCTAGACTTGTGTCTGTTTTCCTAGGTACTCTGTGTGCTGGTAGCATCTGCTATTACAACCCTCAGACTCAAACCTTCGACCTGCTTGGGTCAGAAGAGGTCAGGGGAAGGGTGGCTCTGACAGGCCTAGGGGAGAGGCATGGAGAGGTCCTTGACATTGAGGCAGCCACGTGTAGGGACTGGGTGTTACCCATCCTGCAGTGCCCAACTCAGCTCCCTTAGATAAGGAGGGGAAGCAGGAAAGAAAGAAGAGAAGGAGGACTTCCGGGTGTGGCCTGGGCGGGCAGCATCCCAGATGCCTGCATTGCTCCTTAACAGGGGAGATGGAGCCACCTCAGTGTGTGGAGGAGCTGGAGGATGATGTGTTCCAACCCGAGGATGGGGAGCCGGGGACCCAGCCCAGGAGCCTGCTCTCTTCTGATCTCTTTGCCCAGAGCCAGCTGGACTGTCCCCTTGGTCGGCTGCACCTCTTCCCTCTCACCCACTGCTGTGGCCCTGGGCTCAGACCCACCAGCCAGGAAGACAAGGCCACTCAGACCCTCAGCCCATCCTCTCCAAGCCAGGGTGTCATGCTGCCTTGTGGGGTGACTGAGGAACCCCAGCGACTCTTTTATGGTGAGTGCTCTTAGCCTTAGGACTCCTCCTAGAGAGGTTGGAGGACGAGAGAGTACTGTCTCTCCTCAAACCTGTCCTCTGCTATTTCCTTCTCAAAATAAGCAGCAGGGGCTGTCGGTCCCTCATCTTTTTGCCTTTTGCCTCTCTGCTTGTTACTGCTTTTCTCCTTTGCTTTAGCCCCAAATAAGATACATTGCTTTTCTTTTCCTTTTTTTTTTTCTTTTCTTTCTGCTCTGTTGTCCATTCTTGGAGGGATCCTGGGGCTCATTGTGTCTCTTGTGAAATCCTGTGCCCTGTAGTAGCTCAGCCTTTTGTGTCCTGATAGTGGTTTGTCTTCCCTAAACTGGGTAAGGTTGCCCTACAGAAGGCTGGGAGATTGTGGCTCGCTGTTGGCTCTGGAAAAACCCAGCCAGTTCAGGCACGGAGGGTCCCTGAAGGCAGAAGGTGGCCCCAGTTGTCACTTGGGACTTTCTGTGCTTGGAACAGGAACTGGAGAAAGAAGTTGGGCCTGCCTAGGCATAGTGCCAGCAGAAGGGCTCTTTCCAATGCTCAATCAGATAAGCCCCCTTCATTTGTGGGCATAAATGGTTTGTTTTTTGAGACATATGCCCTCCTTTGGCGAAAGGGCAGGGCTAGCCACTTGGCTGTTTTCTTCTTTTAGCACACTGGCTAGTGGAGGGAAGGCGCCGTTTCACGGTCAGTCTGCCGAGTCTGCCTGCGCAGAATGAGATACACTATTCCCGGAGGGAACTGCTGCGCGGGGCACTGCTGGTGAAGCGAATTCTGGAGGGAGTCTGATTAGTTGGACAAGGCTGGTGGCCTGGAAAGCGGGGAAAGGAGGGAGGAGGCAGGCGGGCTGCTGCCCCTAGCGGCCGTTCTGGTGCCAGCACTTGGCGAGCAACCCGCCGGGTTGGGAGCGCTCTCCGGGGGGTCGGGGGGAGGGGACCTCCAGAGAGGAACTTGGCGGTTCTGCGGGCCTCAGGAGTTTCCTCTCGCATTTGTGCCACTGCCCAGAGCTTCGGGTGCTGAGCCCATCTTCTTCTCTGCTGCACTAGAAGAGTGAAGATGCTCCGTGTTTTGTTTCTCTGTGTCCTGCTTTGCTCCCCCCAGGAACTCTGGAGGGCTACTTGCTGCCAGTGGTTTTCCAGAGAGGAGCTGCAACCTGCTGCTACGTTAATAATAAAACTGTGGTCAAGTGTGGCTTGAGAAATAAGGATGGGAGGTTGGCACCCTCACTTGCACACATCACCAGCCTGCCCTGTGCCATGGCACTGACAGTGAATGGAACACAGTAATAAGTGAAGAGAGGCCTGGGGCTCCTCCTTTCTTCTCCTGACAGCGACTATTTTGTGTGAGATCAAACCCAGGGCCTTACACATGCTGAGAACCACTGAACCACACCCAAGCCCCTTCATCAGCTCTTTTTTTAAACCATTGGACAGCTGGCAAGGTAGACTGTCCAAGCTTGGCAGAGTGCCCTGATAAAGGAAGGCTGTTTCCTTTCCCTTCCCATCCTAGTGTTTACCCTCAGGCCTGGGTCATGGCCAGAAGGGCAGACAGGGAGAGGATGGGGCGGGAGTGGAGAAGACTGACAGGTGGGTCTTCTCTCTCCGCAGGCAATGCTGGCTACCGGCTTCCTCTCCCTGCTAGTTTCCCTGCAGGCTTGCCTCTTGGGGAGCAGCCCCCCGAAGGTCAGTGGCAACATCGAGCAGAGGTGCAGATCGCCCGGAAGCTTCAGTGCATTGCAGACCAGTTCCACCGGCTTCACATGCAGCAAGTAGGCGTGAGGGCTGGGGAGAGGCGGGTGTCTACTGGGGCTGGGGCTGAGGCCTGCCCCTCTCCTCCTTAGCGGCTGGTCCCTGCCAAGCGATTGTGGCCTTGGCTTTTGTCATTCCTGTGAAGCGGGTGGGCCCAACTGGATGAGCAGCACTCTTGCCCTCACCTCTGAGCTCCGAGTTGGTTTTCTGCCTGCCCTCAGCTCCTGCTCCGTAGGAGCCAGAGCTCCTTTCAGCAGTTCGCCTTGTCAGGCTCTCTTCCAGGCCAGGGTTGGGGCATGTCTCTCCCAGACCAGTGGGGAAGATTTTTAGGGTGCTGCAGTGAAACGGGCGGTTGGGGGTGCCTGGAGAGGTGCAGTGAGGAAGGGGTAATCCGGCCAGCGGATGGGGCCTGAGTGGGGGAAAGTGGTGGAACCGGTTGAAACCTGACACTTTCCAGCTGGGGAGCCACTCCTCACTGTCTGTCTGGGAACCCCGGCCACAGGCATGGGACTCTGAGCGCACCTCGGAAAGTCTCCCCAGACCGGCGGCCAGCCAGGCGCTCTGCCGGGTGCTTGGCCGGCAGCCTGGCACCAGCCCCGCCAGGGCGGAGCATCGCGTGTCAGCCAAGCATGTGGCAGAGGCCATCAACAAAGGCGGCGGCTGGCAGGCTCGTGCTGGAGGAGCCCTTGGTGCCATGGGCTGGAGGCTGCCCTGTTCCACAGCAGCCGCAGTCTGAGCCTGGCCCCAAGCACTTAACCCTTCCTCACCTGGTGCACTTTCTTGATGGCTGGCTGCCAAGGTGGGGAAAGGAACCTAAGGCTGGATTGTGCTGCAGTAGCCACTGATGAGAAAAGCTACACCACCTGGCAGGGAACATATCCCCCTCCTCCTGGGACTGTGTCCTTGTCCTGGTGGTGGTGGTGGAGGTGATGATGGTGGTGGTGGTGGTGGTGGGGTGTGTGTGTGTGTGTGTGTGTGTGTGTGTGTGTCTGCTGTCTGTCTGCCTGCCTTCCTGCTTGTCTGCTTGTCTGTCTGTCTCTTTCTGTCTGTCTGGAGGTCAGGGGAATAAATAGCTCGCATGATTTTGCAGACCCTGAGATTAGATGGGTAACTTCAGGTGACCAGAAGAGATTTATTGGTGGTGGTCAATTTGACTTTGAGGTCAAACTGTTGCCAGCACCAGGAGGAAGAGGATTAGAGTTAGGAATTAGAGTTGATCTTGGGATTCCTGAGAACAGGCCATTGGGGGTTACATGTGGTTATCCCTCAGCCAGGAGGGAGATTTGGGGCTAGACCTAGCTCTTCCAACTCTTGGGAGCGTGGCCCTGAGCTCAGGTTATAAGGCAGTTTAAGCACCTGCTCTGATCACCTCAGTCCCTGTTCTCTTCCTCGATTGTTTTGTGGAAACTCTGCTTAGAATTTTCCTGCAGTCCACACTGTGGGTTCCTTCTGATTCCCACTTTCAGTCTCCATTCACTCCCCTCTGGTTGTGTGGGCCCATGGGTGAGCCCATCTTAGCTTCTGGTCCTGGTGCCCGACAAAAGCTGTCAGTTCCTAGCTTCATCTGCAGGACATCTGGGAGGCGGCTTTCTCCATTCACAGTAATCTGACCTGGCTCAACAATTATTTCCCAGGATGTTCCCCATATAAGCGGAGCCCTGATTGGCTTGGGAGCAGGCTGGGTGGCCTCCCTTGCCCAGCTGCACCCTGTCGCAGCAGCAGGAGGCCCTTAGCCCAAAATCTGAGCCTGCTCTTTGCTAACTGCAGTTATCTCTCCCAGTTCAGGGCTGCCTACTTGAAGGAACAGGTCATTTCCAGACTCATTTCAGTCAGGGCCTCAGGCGGAGAAACACACGAGCCTTCCCTACCTTGCTCTTCACCCCACCCTGGTGTGCAAGTTCCTGTGCCCTGTCCTCCTGGCAGCCACCTGCTCTTCTACTTTACAGGGACAGAAGGCTGACAAGTAAGGCCTTTCTAGGCCAACAAGTTGATTTAATCAGGTTTTCCTTTCCAACTTTTATCCCCCTGTTCCCCACGAAGGGCCAGAGTGGTAGTAGATGGAGCACCAGCACTCCTGGACCTTTTTAATCTGCCTTTAAAAAGTGAATCACTTTGTGAATTTGATCCTTACAGTAAACTAATCATTTTTCATATCGAGAAAGTATTGTTGTCACTCCTACATTTTTATCGGCCTCCTGTCATTCTTTTAGGCAGAGAGACTGAGGCACTGGGAAGGAAGTTGTCAAGGATTTAGTCTTTAGGCTTCGGGTTCAGAGATCGAAGGTCCAGGTTTGAATAACAGCTCTGCCAACTTTCTCCATTGGGAAGTCATTTGACCCTGCTGAGCCTATTTCCACTTCCTTATAGATCTAACACCGCAGAATATAGTGAAGATTAAGTGAGAAAACCTAAGAAATTTCAGGCACATAGTAATTTTGAAAATATAATTGACAAAATCATATATATTTAAAGTGTTTAACATCTTCCTTTGATATATATATATATATATATATATATAAAATGATTGCTACAGTCAAGCTAGTTAACAGATCATCACCTTACTTATAGCTGTAGATGTTCTTGAACACTTATTTCCTTCTGCTTATAACCCTGATCACCTCTGTACTTGTTCTTGTTGGCTCACAGTTCACTTCTCTCTCTACGTGCCAAGCTGCATCCTGAGCAGATCTGCTTCCCCTGAGCCCTCTTCCTCCTGCCCTATCTACAGAAACCAGTATCCAAGCTGCTCAGTTGAGGTCTGACTTTATCCATTTCTCCTCAGAGAGTGACAATTATTCCCCCATCATTGTGGGCTGCATTTAAAAACCCTCTGAGAGCCGGGGCATGGTGGTGCATGCCTGTAATCCCAGCACTTGGGAGGCTGAGGCAGGAGGATCGCTGTGAGTTCGAGACCAGCCTGGGCTACATAGTGAGTTCCAGGTCAGTCTCAACTATATAGTGAGACCCTGTCTCAAAAACACAACCAACCAACCAAACAACAACAATAAAAACCCTCTGAGAGAGGCTACCCCAGAGGCACTAAGGAGGTTGGGGAGGCCTGACCTCCTTCTTTCGTCCTAAATCTGAAGCCATGTTCAGACAGTGGCCATTGGCCTTCAATCTTGTAGGAATTCTGAGCTGCCCCTTCTGTCCCTTGATATGGACCTCATTATTCTTTTTTTCTGCACCAGAGAAATCTCTCTTGGAGGTATGAAGCAGAGAGAGGGGTGCAGCAAGCAACAGGTTCCTGATGCCCCTGGGTGTCCCAGTATGCAGGCCATGCACCATCTCTGCATTTCCGGAAGAGTGGGGCTAGGGGGAAGATTCACCTGGTTACCCACGTGGTTGGTTCTGGGTGGCTTCTCTGGACCCACAGGTGAGAACTCTATAGAGGTGGAAGATCAGTCAGCCAGTGCTCATCGTTAGCTTTTTGGGCTTCTGAATCAGTGAGAGTTGGAGGCCAGGTAAATGAAGGTAGACGCTTCCAAACCTCTCCATGTGCCCCACCTCTGGCTGAGTCAGGTGAGAAAATTCCCCCTCTTTGTTCCTCATAAACCAGGGCTGCACCCTGATGGCCCCCGATAGTGAGGTACCGTGACCTGGGCTCTGTGAGGGTGGCTTCCTAGGGTTCCCTGGTCTGTTCAGTTTCTGAGCTCGCGGGCTGCCCTGGCCAGAAAGTCCAAGCCTTGGCTTCTTCCATTCCCAATGCTTTCCATTCCTCTAGCAGGTGCCTTGGGAAGAAAAGGAGGAACTGGTTCCCTCCCCTTGGAGAAGCCTCTTGTCTCATTGGGCCCATCTTGAAATTTGTAGGTGTCTGGGTGATGTTAAGAAGCTAAACATTCCGCCCCAAAAGTAGCTGCAGTAGGCCACTGAGTGAGTCTAAAGCTGCAGGAGGGTTGGAATTCTTCATAATAGAAATGGGGTTTTTACTTGGACCAGGAGTGTCTCCATTCAGAAAAGCCAGATTTGGAAATTCCCTGAATAGTAATTAGACTTTTTGAATAATGAAATCTAAGAAAACTTTCAGAGGGCCAGGGATGTAGCTCAGTGGACCTGCCTGGCAAGCTCAAGGTCCTAAGTTTGATCCTTGGTACCACAAAAACAAAAACAACAACAAAAACCCCAGTTCTGCCACTTAACATGGTCATGGGTAGGATCACTTAACCCTGGCAAGCCTCAGGATCCAATGCTTACTTTGCAGAGTTGCTGTGAAAGGCATTTGAGAAGTGTAATACAAATAACAATTGGGCTGAAGGTGTAGCTCATTGGTAGAGTACTTGCCTAGCATGTGTGAGGCCCTGGGTTCAATCCCCAGCACTGCAAACAACAACACACTTTTGGATACTTTTGGAAATGTGTTAAAAGATGAGTTTGGGGTTTCTCTTGGACCTGGCTTTACAATTCTTAGGGTCCTCACTTGGAAATTGTCCTGAAGTTGGGTGATTGCAGCTTCTCTGCCTGGCAGCCTGGATCCTTTGTTGGGTGGGGAGGCTGACTGCTTTCTGACTCTTCAGGATGCTTTCTGTGTTGGTGAGTTGTTTTCTGGGGTTCAGACCATGGACAGTGAGGTTGCCTGGGTTCTCCAGGGGACAGCCCTGGAAAAGGGCTGCAGAGGTTTGCCCATGAGTGAAAAATGCCCCTAGAGAGCCAGGGTCTATCCCAGGAGATAGCCAGGTCCACCCAGGACAGTGCCAGGGGAAGAGCTTTGGAGAGGCCATGTGTGTGAAAGCCAGTGCTGGGACTTGGGGGCCCCATGTTTGCTCTGTGGCTGGCTCTGTTTATATCACTTGCTATATTTAGATTCTGAGTCATCAGCGTGGCAGACTAGAGGCTGAGTTCCCCACACACTCTGCACCTGACTGCTCTCTCTTCCAGGAGAAGGGCCTTGTAGTTCCGGACAGTTTGTTCCTCCCTGCCCACCAGGGAAGGCCGTGGGGATGGGAATTAGCTTTGGGTTTGGAGACGAGAGGGGAGGTGATGGGAAGAAAGGGGTGGGGTGGCACAAAGAAGGATAAATAAA